GATCAACGAAAGCTGCACTCCTACACCTATTCCATGAGTTCAGCCCGAAGAGCATGAACTCATGGAATTTGTGTACACAATAAAATAAGAAACAACAACACTATGTCACACAAGAGGATTGTGTGCGACAGATGTGAAACCTTCCAACATTCTGGTCAACTCCAGGGGAGAGATCAAGCTGTGTGACTTCGGAGTGAGCGTCCAGCTCATTGACTCCATGGCCAATTCCTTCGTGGGCACGCGGTCGTACATGTCCCCGGAGAGGCTCCAGGGCACCCACTACTCTGTGCAGAGTGACATCTGGAGCCTGGGACTATCGCTGGTGGAGCTGGCGCTGGGGCAGTACCCCATCCCTCCCCCCTCCAGTGTACAGACCAGGTCCCCCTCTGGTAAACCTGTTCTTCCCTGCTCTTTATAATTTTACAAAATCAACAAGCAATCTAGGGCCAGGTTTCTTTTCTTCTTCTTTCTTATCTCCACTCAATCATATTAGGGCATCAAGCTTGTAAAGCTTGAGACCATCATGATTGGGTGAAGTAGAATGCGTCTGCCTTTGTCATTAAGACTAGGAGCACTACTCAGTGGCAGGCTGACTTAGCTCCAAAAGAAATGGCCGCCTCTGACATGAGGAACAGACGCCACGTGCAGCCGCTCCTAACATGGAGTACAAACACTGCTCATCCTGTATCCTTGGATCAGGAGTCCTTACAGGGTACTATCAGCCAGGCCAGCTGAACCCAGGTTTTTTATACAGCTTGTTACTGCTCCCCCTCCTCCTTTTTCATCCGGGCTTGGGACCGGGAAAGGCGGAGTTAGGTTTCTTTTAACTATATACAGTTAAACCTGTCTATACCACCCCCTCTTAATAACACCTTCCTCTCTATATCGCCCGATTTTAAACATTAAAATGTAAACATTTTACATTAAAAGTGACCTGTCTATAGCACCCCCCCTCTATAGCACCCTATTTTGGTGAGTCCCAAGAGGTGGTGCTATAGACAGGCTTAACTGTATATATACATTTTTATTTATCAAGCTTTCGACTCAATATGTCCTTTTCAACAGGAGATCTAGGAGTACCACTTCCAGCCAATTAAATAAAATAGGATGATTGGAGAGTGAAAATAAAAATTGGTTGAATTAGAGGAAGTGTTGAATTATAGAGGTTTGTGTAGGTAGAAATGTGGTATCTACACTTTTAGAATATAAGCAGTTTCAACCCCCCCCCTACCCACCATGATTATCATGACCTATATATATTTGGCTGGAAGTGAAAATTCTAGGTCTCCTGTTGAAGAGCTTATTAACCCGAAAGCATGAGAAATTTTTTTTTTAAATAGTTAAAAGAAATCTGGCCCTGGAACCGGTGGTCAGTGGAAGGATGGTCTAAACTTTTGGTTTTCGACCACTACAACCCGAGTTTGATTCCCGCATTGAGCACTTTTTTCTGTTTAAAAAAAAAAAAATGCTCCAATGGCCCCCGATTCTTGCAAAATTCCAACCCCACCAGCGAGTGCAAGTAACCAAAACGGGGCTCTGGCACATTTGTAAGTGCAAAGTCGAACTGCTTTTCACATGTGTAGACATGTGGTATATTTACAGTAAAAGCAGTCGCCTACTTCTACCCACCATGATTATCATGGCCTGTACCACGTGTACCAGTGATAAGCAAAAAAAAAAAAAAAGGTTATACTGTGTAGGTAGAAATGTGGTATATTCCCCCCCTACACACCATGATTATCATGGCTTATATAAAAAATGGCTGGAAGTGGTAATTCTAGGTCTCCTGGTGAAGAGCTTATTGGCCGAAAAGCTTGAGAAATAATAAAAAATAATTAAAAGAATCCTGGCCCTGGAATGATTAATGATTTTGTTAAATATATCTTTTTACAGCAACTACATCTGATCTCATGGAATGTGGGGTGTAAGGTTCTTTCATCTCCTAGTTATTGGTAGATGTCAGTGAACTATATATTCAACTCTCTTTGACTATCCTGAAGAGTATATGAAACATGCTTTAACTGTGTTTCTGCCATTGTGTATCTTGTGTCTCAGCTTCCGAAGAAAACCACAAGCTGATGTCCATCTTTGAGCTCTTAGACTACATTGTCAATGAAGTAAGTTGTACCTCTCACTACACAACTTATTTTTTTTGTAAAACTAGGGGGTATTCTTTGTATCTACATATATCATCACAAGTATCCACCTTAAAAGACTGCATAGGAAAACATGGCTACTCCTGGTCAGTCTCTTTAATATGGTTTTCCGATAGGAGGATGAATTAGATTAAAATAAATCATTTTCAAAACAAATTTTACACCATTTTTTTTGCCACTTATATCTTCTTATTTACATACACAAGGTAATATGACCAAATAAATAAATAGTGTGTTACGTTTCGGTAACAACATTGTTACTGTCATAAGACAAAAGTACTGAATGTAATAAGACCAAATCCACAAATAAATAAATAGTGTGTAACGTTTCAGTAACAGCGTTGTTACCATTCAGTACTTTTGTCTTCTTCTTTCTTATCTCCACACTGGGTGAAGTAGAATGTGTCTGTCTTTGTCATTAAGACTGGGAGCACTACTCAGTGACAGGCCGACTTAGCTCGAATATAAATGGCCGCCTCTGACATGAGGAACAGATGCCATGTACAGCCGCTCCTAACATGGAGTACAAACGCTGCTCATTCTGTATCCCTGGATTAGGAGACCTTACAGGGTACTATCAGCCAGGCCAGCTGAGCCCAGGTTTTTTAGTGAGCTTGTTACTGCTCCCCCTCCTCCTTTTTCATCCGGACTTGGGACCGGCAAGGGCGGAGTTACTTTTGTCTGATGATGGTAACAATACTGTTACCAAAATGTCTGCCACAATTTATTTATTTAGATTTGGTCTTATTGCAATCAGTACATTTGTCTTATGATTACCTTATATTACCTTATTACCTTGTATCACGATTCAATACAATTCAATTAATACAATAGGAGGCCAACCATTGGTAATTATGTCACAATCCCTTGTATCCTCCATTTGTAATGGCCACAACACCAACAACCCGTGGGTAACAACTTACTTGATGTATCACAGCCACCCCCGGTGTTACCTGCTGAACACTTCACCGAGGAATTCCGGGACTTTGTGGACAGATGGTGAGTGTTCACTTGATTTGTTATTATTAGCAGGTATTAGTTATCCCAAGTACATACAGGCCATGATAATCATGGTGGGTAGGGGGGTTTGCAACTGCTTATATTGTAAGTGCATATATCACATATCTGCCTACATAGAATAACCTCTATAATTCAACTAATTTTTATTTTTCACCACTTACAAATCTGCCAATTTTACTTTAATTTAACCGACTATAATTAAACCGCAAAATTTTAACCTCTTGGGATGTTGAATTAAATAAGTTGGAACTCTTCTATGTGCTTACAAGGTGTTAAAGCCCCATTTGGTTATTAGTACTCACTTTTTTGATAAGGCACAATTTGGATTATAGATTATAAACACAAGGTAATAAGACCAAATCCAAATAAATAAATAGTGTGTTACACACTATTTATTTATTTGGATTTGGTCTTATTACCTTGTGTTTATACTAAATTTTTTTTAGTCCACGTAACTTTTCCTTTATAATGAAAGAGAATCTCCTGATGATACAACTGGACATTGCTGGTGGACCCCACCCTCTCATCACCTCCAGCTGTGTCTACAACTAGATTGTTTTGTATACAGCCTGAAGAAAAACCCAGCAGAGAGAGCCGACCTCAAAACTTTAATGGTAAGTAACTTTTTTCTCTCTCTTTTTTTTTATTGGCAGCTTTGCCTTTTTTTTTTTTTTTTTGTTGAACAACTGGCAATTTGGGGGGGGAGGGGGGCAACAAGACATAACGGTGAAGTAATCATTCTTTCTTCTACGTTGTTTAGAGAAAGGTAGCTTACTAACATTCCATGACAACTTCTGTGAATAATCAGAATGTTATTGAAACTTCCTATTTACATATATTATTTGGTCTTCTTTCCTTTCTTTATATATAAATATCTTTGGAACCTTGTGCTTGTATGTAGCAACTTGCAAGTAAAGATTTAATCAGTTTATATTCAAGTCATCGCTTTAACTTTTTTCTTCAAAAATTGTTGTTGCACTTACTAATAGGTTTTGTTGTTGTTGGACTACTGCAAGAAACCGGGATCTCATTTTAAACAGTTTTTTTTTTTTACTTCAGAATAAGAACAACAAGGTAAAAATAAGACACCAAATCCAAAATAAATAAATAGTGTGTGATGTTTTGGTAACAGCGTTGTTACCATCATCAGACAAAAAGTACTGAATTATGATGGTAACAACGCTGTTATTGGACCGTCACACACTATTTATTTGGATTTGGTCTTATTATTACCTTGTGGCTCTAATCTATAATACAAATTGTAACTTATCATTTTATGATGTATTATCGCACACCATCTCTGTTATTAAAATTCGAAACTATTATAGACGCGTATGATTCTTTTAACTTATCATTTTATTTTCAGATCAAAAATTCAAGGTAATAAGACCAAATCCAATTAATTAAATAGTGTGTGATGTTTTGGTAACAAGACTTACCAAAACATCACACACTATTTATTTATTTGGATTTGGTCTTATTACCTTGTGTTTATAATCTATAATCCAAATTGTGTCTTATCAGATCAAAAAGTGTTTAATACGCAGGATTGAACCCCTGGCTGTGGAAAAATGGACAGTTTCTCCACCAACTAACCCTAAAATATGGTGACACAGAACCATCCCTTTATCAAGAGGACAGAAGATGGTCAGGAAGACATCGCCAGCTGGATCTCCATTATCATGGATCCTGGCAGTGCATAGAGGGAGCCACAGCAGCAATGCCTGTAACGTAACTCCTGTGTATTATCTCTTACTTTGTTTTGGAATTCTCTTGGCCCTTTCTCAAACATACCTAGAGTAGAGCTTCTTATAGTCTTTTACATATTTTTGTTATGTCACCCTCCCAAATACTGACCGACATTGCTTAACTTTGGTAATCGAATGAGAACCAGTGTTTTTCAATGTGGTAAGGACATAGATAATTTGTTGTGTAACAGATGTATTTTTACTTTCACTTTTACTTTTTATCTCTTGAGATATTTCTCACTAAGGTAGCTTCCATTTTTAAGAAGTTCTCTTGTGAGCCAGATTGCAGTGTTGGTATTTCTCCGATGTTGATTGGCTTGTTCTGCTTCCATAGTTACTCAGTGATTTGTGCGCTTGTTGCTGTAAAAGTGACTCTTTAATTATAGACAAAGAGTTTTTTAATTATATATATATATATGAATACATAAGTGGTTTTCAACTTTTTTTTATTTATATCACAACTTTTGTTTTTATCTATTCCAATTAGAGACACTTTATTATCATTTTCATTATTCCTTGGGAGAAAACTGTTTCCACGATATTTTTCGAACGTCATATCAGCACTATTTTCCCTTCCTTTCAGATTCAATAATCGAATAGATATAATGAAACTCCCTTATATTTTTAGGAATGGAGTATAGAAGATGAAATATTTGTTGATTTTTTTTTGTTTTATTTAAAAGGTTATATCAAGAGGGAAGCCAAAATTTACTAATTTCTTTAAATTAATTTTCCTTCCTTTTTATTAAGACACACACACAAAGTAAAATATATATATATTGTTACCTTAGTAATTTTTCTATCTACAGTGGAATATCATTCTAAAGCCTCTTTTATAACAGCAACTCTTGGTTATAACATTCTAATTCGACAACAACAAAGCCTTTATTTAGGGCCTCTCGCCCTATACAGGATTCGCCAGTTCTAACATTCTAATTCTAAGGTTACCAAGGTTTTTAAATCCTAATTTTAATATGTCAATAACATGGTTATTATCCCTAGTACACATGGTATAGGCCGTGATAATCATGGTGGGTAGTAGTTGACGACTGCTTTTTTACTGACACTACATGTCTACACATGTGAAAAACATGTTCAAATTTTGCACTTACAAGTGTGCCAGAGCCCCATTTGGTTACTTGTACTTGCTGGTGGAGTTGAATTGATAGTGGAGTTGATAGCGGGGTTATAACAACTTATATAAAATCTGGGGTCTGGAGTAATGTGACTTTAGGGCGATTCCACTATAAGAACAATGGCCTATTTCAGAGTATGTTTAGGGTTTGCCAATATTTTTTTTACATTATACAGTAGAACCTTCCTATAAAGGACAATACCTAGTTACAGGGCCAAACTGTCCTTTAGGGAGATGTCCTCTCATGGAGGTTGTTCTACTGTATATGTAGTTTTCTGTATGTGTCTTACTACAAGTTCATATAAATAAGGCATTTACTGGATTCTATCTACAGGATTGTTGCTGTGTATCTACGACAGTGAAGCTGTAATAACAAAGATTCTAACATTGATAAAGCACAATTTAGATTATAGATACAAGAAAATAAGACCAAATCCAAACAATTTAATAAGGTGTAACGTTTCAGTAACAGCATTTTGTTATCATCATCAGATAAAAGAATGATGATGAATTAATTTCTTTTGTCTGATGATGGTAACAATGCTGTTACTGAAATGTCATTTATTTATTTGGATTTGGTCTTATTACCATGTGTTTATAATCTATAATCCAAATTTGTGACTTATCAATGATGAATGAATTTCTTTTGTCTGATGATGGTAACAATGCTGTTTCTGAAACGTCACACACTATTATTTGGATTAGGTCTTATTTTCTTGTATGAAAAGATTCTCCAACACTATAGTCAACTAACTATTCCCTTGAAATGCCTTATGTCCCGTATACTCTTTGGTTTGGTACATAGAGATGTGACTGACCCATTGTTGTTGTGCCTATGGAGGAAAATTAACTTTGTTTCTTCTTATTTGTTCCAAATTTCAAATTTTTTTAGCAAGGTTTTTTAGAACCTCAAAGTATTTTTGCGCTTGTTGAAAATCGATCTTTTTAAAAAAAAAAATTTTTTTTTTTTAAATCAAGTTTGTTTGTGAAAAAATATTGCTTTTATATTTTTTTTAATGCATTGCTATTTTTTTTTAAGTGAAATAATCTTTTTATATTTGATTTTTTTTTTTTTTGGTAAATGTAAATATATAGTTATTTTTATTGTTTATATCATCTATATGTTTAAAAAATATATTATGTCCTTTTTATTATTATTATTATTATATACAAGTTTGTGAAAATAATTGTAAAGCTTTTTTTTTTTTTTGACTGGTTGACTTTTTTTTTTTTTAAGTTTGCTGCCAATCTAGTCATTTATTGCTCTGTGATTGGAGGGAAGAAATATCATCATACCGTGTTTTTTTTTATCATCATCTTTATTATATCTCCCATACGTAGCTTAGTGTGATTAGAAATAGCGGTATAGAAACATAAGATGATCTCTCACATATTATGTCTCATTTCTTTCTTCCATAATATACATTTTTAGTTAGTTTTGTATTTTTGTCTTTATTTATATACAGTATATACCTGTCTATAGCGCTAAATTAGGTGTTTGATGATGAAACCTTCCTGAGTTAAATATGAGACAGAGAGATGCTCCTACTAGGGCCTGGACACTTGAGTCACATATCCTGTTTGATCTCCTATCCTCACTCTATGGCAAGCAAGTCCATTTGAGAGAAGCTATTAACAAAAGTCAAAATACAGTTAAACCTGTCTATAGCGCCCCCTCTAAATAGAACCTTCCTCTCTATAGCGCCAGATTTTAAATACATAGTACGATGCGATTTATATTAAAAGTGACCTGTCTATAGTACCTCCCTCTCTATAGCACCCTATTTTGGTGAGTCCCAAAAGAGGGAGTGCTATAGACAGGTTTAACTGTATATACAATAGAATCTCCCTATAAAGGCACAACACCTAATTACAGAGCTAAAGTGTTCTTTAGGGAGAGAGGTGTCCTCTTACCAGAGATTTACTAATTAGTAAAAATGGTAATTTTGTTAATGAAAACTGTCCTTTGTAGAGAGGTGTCCTCTCATGGAGATTCTAATGTATATAGAGAGAATGTTAAGAAAAAAATTCGTTTTTTTTTTTTTTTATCAATTTGAACTTCCTGTAGAAAGTTGGACATTAGTTCCAATTAATGGAAGTTTTATGAATTTTTTTTTTGTATATGAGTTTATATAAAATTTGAATACTATTTTATAAATACTGGTTTCTCACAAAGTATATTTCTAACAATTAGTGCCACATGGACAGGTTAAATGTTTAAATGTTTCAATCTTAAATGACATGAATCCTATTAGATCACCCTTGAATCCCAAATATATGCAAAGACTTCGGATATACAGTTAAACTTATCTATAGCGCCCCCTCTAAATAGCACCTTCCTCTCTATAGCGTCCGATTTTAAATACGTAGTACAATACGATTTAAATTAAAAGTGACTTGTCTATAGCACCCCCTCTAAATAGCGCCTCCCTCTCTTTAGCGCTCGATTTTAAATACATAGTACGATGCGATTTAAATTAAAAGTGACCTGTCTATAGCACCCTATTTTGGTGAGTCCAAAGAGGGGGCGCTATAGACAGGTTTAACTGTACAATGAAGGCAAATGAATTAGAAAAGAATGTTGGGAAAAATGAAGGAAGAGAGGAAGACCTGCAATAAACTAGCTAGAAAGGGTTCAAGAAAACTACTGGAAAGTCACTAGATGAGCTGTGAGTACGTCTGACCTCACGGACAATACAGCAGCTACTGGACATGCCTCTCAAATTTTAATGACCGATATGTCCTCACTTCTTTTTTCTAGAATTAATTCATTTTGTCTCCTCTCTAATTGTAAATACGCTGCTGTATCACCTCATAAGCATAAATAAATAAAAGTGAATAACAGATCAAATTGGAGAGTTTTGGTCGATATAATCACCAGAAGTCAACTTGATTGATGCTAACAGCAACAATTACAAAACCAAGTAATCTTCAATATATTTTTTCTTATATATAAAGAATACACTAAAGATAATAATTTTGTCTTTGTTACTTTTTTTATATCAAAAAGTGTATCTCTCATCATGAATATCTTTTTTGATAATTGAGCCAAAATTGTTATTTATTTTTACTAATTAATATAACTATATGTATATAAGTTCTTATATATGTAATTGTGTGAATCTTTAAATATGCAAATTACAAACATCTACACACCCTTCTCTTTTACAGTCATGTAAAGTCCCTCTATACATGATATTCTGAGAACTTCGCACAAAAACACAATTTGTTCACTTTTCCATCCCTCTGAAGATGCATTCATCTGTGTTGTTTGGGGCCCTATAGCGCCCCCTATAAATAGCGCCTCCCTCTCTATAGCGCCCGATTTTAGATACGTAGTACAATGTGATGTCCCAAGACAGGTTTAACTGTATATATATTTTGAAAATAGAGCAATCTTTAAATAAAAAGGCATATTTTGATCCAATATATGCCTTTTTATTTAAATATATATATATATACAGTAGAACCTCCCTGTAAAGAACAACACCTAATTGCAGAGCCAAAGTGTCCTTTAGGGAGAGATGTCCTCTTACCGGAGAGTTGCTAAATAGTAAAAATGGTCATTTTGAAAATGAAAACTGTCCTTTGTGGAGAGGTGTCCTCTCATGGAGATTCTAATGTATATTCTAAAATTAATCATCTTGTTTTTTTTTCTCTAGTACATTCCTCTTTTGTGTCAACCATTTTTTATTAAATATTTGTATTTACATTTGTTAATTTGGTGAAAAACTTTGTTTATTGAATTTTTTTTTTTTCCCTTTCCTTATCATTTTTGTTTTTATATTTATTCTTTTTTTTTTTTTTTATTCTTGAAATTCTTGTTTATTTTATCAGTAATTGTGCAAACAAAATCTTTTAATTTTAAGTTAGAAGTATTTTCTAGCGGGTCTATCTTCTCATGGAGGTTTTTTTTACTGTAACACAAAAAAAGATTATATAAAGATTTATTTTTAAATTGTTTACCTTAGAAATACACTAATGGACAAAGCTTGATAAAGTGGAAAGTCTTTGATGTCACCACTAGTCTTTTTT